TAGGGAAAAGAGACTCTTCACAACCCAAAGAAGAAGAGATCTAGGGCACATGAGGAGTGAAGGGGAAAATGTATCCCAAGAAATACAAGACGGCTCTCCCACGAGGAGAGAGGAGGCTGCAGCTTCATGCTTAAGGTCTGTATAAGGAAGAACAGACTGGCCTAATTTCCACCCTACCAAGGTTGGCTAATGTGGGGGGACTACCAGTGGCAGGGTAATTCCCATCAAATCCCACATGGTGCATCCTTGGGGAAAAGGTGAGAAGGAGGCACCTGAAAACCTCTGCCTCCTGTTCCTCAGTTGCTGGGTGACAGAAGAAAGGCCGAGAGAAGTCCAAGTAGGATGTGATGCCAAAATGTGTGAAGACCCACTCTGGTGAGTTAGGATCTTAAGTGGGGAGGTGTGTTGCAGGGCACTAAGGTGCCTGCTCCTTTAAGGGCTGAAACTGCCTAGGGAGAGAGCCCTTGCAGTCACTCAGGAACGTCTCAGCTGCAAGTTACCATGGCAGCATGAATGAGGGAATTAGCTCGCACCTGCAGGCAGTCAGCTGACCAGGAGAGGCAGGGCCTGGGGCATATATAAACCCCAGGGCTGGGACCAGAGAAGGAGTTCTCTGCCAACAGCCAAGGGGGAAGGAGCTCTGCTAGAGGAAGCTAAGTGAAGAGGCTTGACAGCCCATCTCCTGCTTCTGGTAAGATTAAGGGACTTCAGGAGCTCACCAGACCCTGGCCTACAAGGCATGTTGTGCTGGGGGAAGGGTGATTCATTTAAAGGGACAGAACACACCCTGAGCTGCTTGCATTATGTTATAGCCCAGGGGCTTGTATTTTGATTCGTTTGTAAACCGGAGGATTGGGCTGAGGCTATTGTTGAAGGAGGAGGCCTCATTGGGGGCCCACTGCAGTGGGGGCACCCCAGCACCAGTGTGGGTGCAGTATCTGGGGGTGAGCAGACCCCAGCGCCACGGGCACAGACAGAGACAGGGCTGCAGAGAGCCCAGTGTCAACCAGAGGCCAAGTGAAACTATGGCCTATGAAGGACTGTGTGTGAATGTCATCTACAAGGCTTGGGGCATGGTAAAGGGACAGTTTGGAGCCACGCATCTAGCCCATAAGGCTGAGGGTGTCCTGAGAGGTATCCATTTTGGAGCAAGACCCAAAAGGGGTCTGAGAACCCACAGGGTTCAGTGGGGTCTATCAGGGCAGTGTCCAACAATACACACTTGAGGGCAGCCTCCCCATCTATTACAGTTACAGCAAGATGTGGCAGGCGAGAGAGGCTGCCTGTGGGTCAGGACTGGCATGGTCAAGGAGCCCTAGGGGTATCACAGCCATCCTGGGGGACCCCTCTCTGTGACAGGAAGGAAGGAAGGAGTGCAGTGCTGTAGCAACTGGTTAGGAAGGAGAAATAACAAAAACCACATCACATAATTGTTAAAGCTTGGCTGATACATCCTAGAAAGCTTTGAAAAAACCCCAAAACATTCTTCTTATATTGTCCATAGCTCCCATATCATAATCCTCAAAAAGGGTCACTACACAGAATAGACCTTTTATCTGAATTTTAGGAGCTCCTGAAATGTATTCCCCATCCCCATGTGCAATTATGTTCACCAGGGCCAGAGACAATGGAAATACCTTGATTTCTGCAGTACAGGTATGGGATATAGTAATACCTTTGTTTTCTCAACTGTGTAAATTGAATGACCAATAGCCATGGGTTATGTTCCTTTTTGAGCTTATGATTAGTTTTGGAAAGAGCAGCACTGCAACCTTATTGATTCTTTTCTGAGACAGGATAGAGCCATTGTGTCAAACCCTCAGGCCATGTCCACATGAGTGCGGCAGACATTTGTTTCCCCAGGGACAAGTAGCAGTGGCACACCTTGTGCTTCTGCTACTTGTCCCTGGGAATGCCTGGATCTTACAAGGTCAAACCTTCCCCCCCCCCCCCCCCCCCCCCCCCCCCTGTGCTGCAAGGTAGCAGCGCAGGGAATGCCTGGGCAGTGTATGGTGCCACAGATGGGTCTGTGGCACCCCATACCACACACCCATGCTTGTCTGGATGTGGCTTCAATGTTTGACTACTGGACTGTGTAAGCCTATATGTTTGTGAAGAGACCTTTCTGATGCCATGGAGGGAATAAACTATGTTCTTTAATCATGTGCACAAGATATCTGATATTAGAAAGACCTTCATGGTTTTCTAGACAAAGGCAGTGTAAAATCTAACCTGTGGAAGCTTCTGTTAGCAAAGTTGCTCCTGACACTGTCATTTATACATATGCAAAGTATATGTAAAATGTTGAGCTGGCAGCAGCACTAATCGGGCCTAATGTTTTGAGCTGAAATTTAACCTCCTCAATAGTTTGAGGAAAAACAAAAAGCAAGCAAGCAAAACTGGTGATGTGCCCAAATTTTACGTGGCCTAAATAGTAAATATAAAATTATACAATGCAGACAGAAAGGATTAATCAGGACTGATTATGACATCACAGAGAAAAGCATAGCAAGTCAAGGCCTTTGTTCAGTAAAGCACTTAGACATATGCTTGAGCCCTTTTCTGGTCAAGAATATCCAGCAGCATAACACAGAGAACCACAAGCAGAGAGCTGGACAGTCTTTACTGTGAAGTTTATAACTCCTGAGAGCAAATAAACATCTGAGAACTGAACAAATTGTAGACTATGAGGAAACCAGTGAAGGATTGCTCAGAGGGGATTAAAGTCCCAAGTGCAGCACCACCTACAAATATAGATGATTTTTTCTGTGTGCCGTAGAACTCTGTTGGGCAGGGTCTCACAGAGGACAGTGTGTTACCTTTATTTTTAAATGCAAGCTTTATAACTGGTATTAGAGAGTCTACTACATATAAAATAAAACATACTGATTCTGGGCAGATGTGCTTTTTTTTTTTTTGTGTGTGTTTTAAGAACTCAGGTGCCCTTGATAAAATAAACTCATGCTAAATTCCCTCTGAGCCTTTCAAGTTACACCACTTCAGGCAAGGGTTAACTTTGGGCCTGCTACCTAGCTCTCACTAGGGTAATTTCAGTCTGCTCCATGGAGATAAAATGAAAAATCTGCAGTCCTTTAGCATCCCAGGATGCACTGCTCCCAGCCTCTCCTTCACCCTTCTCCACTCCCCACCCCCAACCCAGAGCAGGGATAGAGTCCAGGTGTTCCTTGCCCCCAGGAGCTGCCTGCTGCTGGGGAGAGCTCTGCCACTGGTGCCCAGGTGGGGACTACCTCCCCCTGCTCCAAGATTACCATCGTGGAGCAGGGGCTGGGAGATCCTTATCTCCTAGCACGAGCCCTGAAGTCATGCTGCTGGCACTGGGAGATAAGGAACTCCCAGCACTGGCCCCGTGACTGCGGAACTGACACTGAGAGATATAAGGGTCTCCCAGCCTGAGGCCCGTGGCCATGGAGCTCAGGCTCAGGCTGGGAAATAAGGGTCTCCCAACACCGGCCCTGTGGTGTCTCCCAGCACCGGCTTCTCATGAATGCAGAACTGGGTGGTGAATAGGCTAGGGATTTTGTTCTCCACTCAGCTCCACAAGCACAGAGCTAGGTGGGGAACAGGCTGGGGAGTTTGGGGCAAATTTTTAGGCAGAACTGGTATGTTCCACTTAAAGACTTTTTAAGGGTTTTTTAAATTTAACTTTTTGCAAATTCAACACAACATTTGGCTGAAAATCAAAGGAAAATCAACAAAGAGCCAAACACAGGAGAAAGAAGGACGTTTTGAGAACAAATGAACTTGGATTGATCAACAGTGGGTGTGTCTATACGAGACACTATGTTGCTGTAGCAATGAGCTATGAAGACGTACTGTTGGCAGACATGAACCGTGACTCTGATACTATTGCGCAATAGCAATGAGCTACAGCACACTAGTTTGTTGCTACTGCGCAGCAGGGTCGGAAATGACCTGTGCGCCACCAGGACTGTGCATTAACGGGAGTTACTGAGTAGTCATTTAGTATTTGCTAGTAATTCTAGCAAATGACTGTGCAGTAACAACTACACAGTCAGGTGCATGTCATCCAGTGTGATATGTATTTGATCATTCGTTACAAGCTTAACCATCTTTTACCTTCAAGCCTTCAGAGAGCTTGCAATTGGCCTAGGAAATTTGTGTGAAGGCTTACTTGAGATAATCCTGTATATAAAGAAAATGTGATAGCAGAATAAATGTTTTAGTGAAAATGTACTGGGTACGTACTTGTCTAGTTATAAAGTGCCTATAACCCTGACAGTATTGTTCTCTTTTCCTTCCTAGGTTCTTACCAATCTAACCTTTACCATAGAGGCATACTTCCTATTTTGATCAGTATTTTAATTCAGTCCTGTCTAAGTGGTTCCTTCTCATCTGACCTGCCATTAGCTAGCCAATGGGTCATTCCATTTATGCTTCAGGATGAACCTGAGCATACAATTCCCACTCGCATGCTGTCAGTTAAATTCATAAGAACCTCTTGTTTTCAGATGTATATCTGTCTCCTGGGAGTTTTCCAATATAAGTCGAGTCAATTAGACTAGAAAAAATCTTTGCATAGCAAAGCATGAGAACATTTCCATATCCCTATAGAGAATAAACAAAGGCAGCAAAATACATGGGGACAAATCTGTTGCTGGTGCAACTCCACCAACTTAAGAGTTAGGCTGAAGTTATTTTAAGTTTCTCTAATTAACTCTGCACATGATGAAATGTACATGGAAAGCAGAGGACATATTTCCCTCCTCCCACAATGCCACCTTGAAAAGGACTACATTAATGGTTACAAGAAACTGTGCATGTTGTTCAACTTTAGTACAAATATCTCATGCATCCTAACAGCAATTATGGGAATAAGCTTGGTTTAATGTTCCTTGGGGTGTCTTTGTGATGGCAATACAAAACTTGTTTACCCTTCACTGTAATTTCCAGTCTCTGCATGCCTCAAACTAGTAATTGTCCTCATTAAGGGGTTTAGTCAGGAAAATGCAGACCATGCTGTGTGGCAGCTACCCACATGTTTTTGTGCTCACAGAAACCCAGTAGATAACATGGTGCTAGTGCATGTTCTTTTAATCTCAATAAAAAGTGATTTTGCTCAGGGCATAATGAAATCTCTATTAACCCATAGTAGCTAACTACAGACCCAACTGTAGGGGTCTGTAGTAGAAAGTATCTATTCACTGAGCTTACCTGGAGCCTGTCTCCTGGACAAAAACCTAACTGCAGGATCAGGCCAAGCATTCCTAACCTTAAACTGGAAAGCGTTATAGTTCAGTAGTATGGGTACTGGCTAGGCCCCAGGAAGTCTCACTGGTGACACAAAAGCTGTACTACTTTAGCCAAATAAGCATAATTAAAGCAATATATCCCTCTTAGACACATCTGCACATGCTATTAATGCACTGCAAGCTTACTGCACAGTAAGCTTTCCCAGGCAGGGTATCTACATGCCTAAGGTGAGCAGTTCAATGCAGGACTACTCTAGCCCAGCTGTGCCCCCTACACCAGCCAGGGGAAGCTCAGGGCTCCCCAGAGTGCCATCCCCAGGCTGGCAGGGGGCACCGGAGTCAGGTCCTGGTCTGTGGGGGGTGGGGGAAGCTGTCCCATCTCTGAGGCTGGAATACAGCAGCTAGGGGAGGGGACATTTTCCCAGCCCTGTGCCCCAATCTGCCAATTGGGGCCTGGGGCTAGGAAGCAGCTGCCCAGAATGGACAGTTTCCTCATCCCCTGCTGTCTGGGTTGACCAAGATCAATATGATTCTGATCAGCAGTCTACATGTGCGCTACTGTGCAGTAGTTACTGTGTGGTTGATCTACTACCCTTATTTACAGGTAGTAGGCAACCGTGCAGTAGACTAATCCACTGTGCAGTAAATGCTGTACACATGTAGATGGTAATACCTTACTGCACAGTAGATTAGCCTACTGTGTAGTAAAACATCTCATGTAGACACAGCCAGTGGGAACACGGCTATAGTGTCACATAAGTTATATTGGTATAAGGCACCTCTATACCAGTATAGCTGTATTCACACTAAGATTTATACCAATATAGTTACTTCAGTCAAAAACTGTCACACTTGACAAGGTATATTACTACCAAAACTATAGGCAGTCCAGGCTTTTGGCACCATTCATGGCCTTCACTTATTTTGAGTGTCTTAGCCTCCTTATGCCTCAGTTTCCTCATTTCTAAATGATGCAGTGGGAACATAGAATCATAGAAGTAAGGTCGGAAGGGACCTTGTAGATCTTCAAGTCCGACCCCCTGCCTGGGCAGGAGGAAACCTGGGCTCAAATGACCCCAGTCAGGTAGGCATCAAGCTGCTTCTTAAAGACCCCCAGGGTAGGAGCCAGCACCACTTCCCTTGGAAGTTGGTTCCAGATCCTAGCCGCCCTAACTGTGAAGTAGTTCCTACGGATGTCTAATCTAAACCTAGTCTCCAACAACTTGTGGCCGTTTTATTCCTTGTTATCCCTGGGGGCGCTAGGGGAAACAAGGTCTCCCCCAAGCCCTTTTGGTCCCCCCTAGTGAGTTTATAGACGGTCACCAGGTCCCCCTCACCCTTCTCTTGTGAAGGCTGAACAGGTTCAGGTCCCGTAGCCTCTCATTGTAGGGTCTGCCCTGCTGTCCTTGGATCATGCGGGTGCCCCTCCTCTGGACCCTCTCAATGCTGTCCACATACCTCCTGAAGTGTGGTGCCCAGAACTGGACACAGTACTCCAGCTGTGGCCTGACCAGTGTCACGTAGAAGGGGAGGATCACCTCCTTGACCCTACTTGAGATGCACCTGTGGATGTACGATAGGGTCCGGTTGGCCCTGACGACCATGACCTCGCATTGTTGGCCCATGTTCATCTTGGAGTCAATAATGACTCCAAGATCCCTTTCTGCCTCCGTGCTCTCAAGAAGGGAATTTCCCATCTTATAAGTGTGCTGCTGGTTACTATTGCCCAAGTACAGCACCCTGCACTTGTCAGTATTGAAACGCATCCTGTTTTTGTTAGCCCACCCCTGCAACCTATCCAGGTCTTGCTGCAGTCTTTCCTTCCCTACTAGCATGCCCACCTCACCCTAAATTTTGGTATCATCAGCAAATTTAAACAGGTTGCTTTTCACCCCATCATCCAAATCGCCGATAAAGAAATTGAACAGTGCGGGCCCAAGGACCGAGCCCTGGGGGACTCCGCTGCCCACTTCCCCCTAGGTCGAATATCACCCATCTACCACCACCCTGTGAGTACAACCCTTCAGCCAATTTGCAATCCATCTGACCGTGTAGGCATCAATGCCACAGTCGCCTAGTTTTTTAATGAGGATGGGGTGGGAGACAGTGTCAAAGGCCTTGCTGAAGTCCAGATGAATATTCATCTTACAATGCTCCTGGGAGGCAAATTTAATCATTGGCTACAAGTGCTCTAATATACTTAGATGGTGAAAAGCACTGTGTAAATGTATTACTGCTATTTCAAATTAATGGCCACATTGTTTGTGGTTGTGACATACAAATTAGTGGAGGAAAATTTCAAAATGTACAGGTTTGCAAAAGCCCTATTTGCAAAAGCCCTAAAAAATGTGGATGAATATCTGAACCTTACCTGAATTTTATGTTTCTCTTTCAAACTGGGATATAAAGTCTGTGGCTGTGGAATTCGCTATGGAATCCACTCCTTGCAGAGATCTATACTATAGAATTCAAAGTTTTTATTTAAGCAAGTAGTTTTGTACCTTTTGAGGATCCAAAGACAATCATAAAAATGTGAACCTAGGTACAAGCTGATTAAATGCTGCTTGCATTAATCTATAGGCAGTTGAAATAATACCCGTGAGAGAGTCTGTGCAGACAGAAACCAAGCAAGAGAAGAAGAAATCATTTACCATTTAGTCTCACAAATATTATGCCTGACTGATCCCACAGTTTTTACATAGTGTAACTTTACTGACTTCAGTGGGGTCTCTGATTTACTAGTGTGAAATAAGAAACAGTTCCCGTGGCAAGGAGCAATGTTGCCCTGTGAACAAGGGATTAAAATAGGCTTTCCCCAAGCCTTGAAAAGGTACTCAGGGGAAAGACTGTATTGGTGGTTTGATAAAGTCAAAGCAAAAGAAGGGAGAACTAAAAGCCCAAAGGCTTAGAGCAGAGTTGAATACCAAATGAATAAAATGTCTGTTGCTTTGCATATAGAGAGTGGCTTGTTCTCTTGTACGATTTTGGATTGTGAACATTATCCTTAATGGAAAAATACTCTTATATGCCTCTCCCTACCACTAGTTTAAGTCAGCATTAGCTGGTCTGACGGTAATGTAGTTATATTGGTACAAAGGGACAGGAATTAAAACCAGTGACAGTAACTTAAAGCTCAGGCCTAGCCAGTTTGAAAACTAAAGAACATTGTGTCACTTCTTTTTAAGTATCAAAGTCTATTTGACACCTAACACCCTGTCAAATTATATTTACAAAAGGCTCCTATCTTCAGTTAAAGGAGCAAAATTAAAAGTGCCTGTTATCAGCTTGCAGAAATAAAATGTGGCAAAACTAATCACATTAAAACTTGGTAAAGGGAAAATTTGCTCTTCAGCTGTTTTAGCTTGGAGTGATTTTTTTTTTTTTTTTTTTATATCTGAATCATAAAACCTTGACTGTGTGACAGAACATTAACAATGGCAGCACTCTAATATGGGGCCTCCTATGGAGAAACATCCATTCCTCTCAGCAGAGCTTTCAAGGGAGGCAAGGAAGAAAAGCAGCATTGTAAATGCAAAACAAAAGGGCTGTTCGTGCTACTAATGAGAGTTTGATTGCTAAAAGGAAGACAATGGGTATCCTTTCAGAGAGTGTGGAACCACTACAATGACTAATCCAGAGAGGGAGAATTGGTTTCATGTACAGATTGCAAAACAGTCTATCACAGAGTGCCTCTGTTACAATATGTCACACACAACACCAAAGCTGTTGTATTTGCTCAGGGCAAAATGATATTTACAATTTGTGATAGGATTTTCAGGCTCTCTTCACTCTCTGCTCACCTCTCTTCTATAATGATGTTTATTTCTAAGGAAATACATGGTTCACTGGAGCCCCCTTTAGTCATATGAGCACAGGTGAGGCTAAGAACTCCTGAATCCTGGAGCTGCTGCTGATTTGCCATGTAAGTTTTGCAAAAGTGCCTGCTGGTTTTGGGGACTCCAACATTGGGTCTTGCTCTTAGAGATGTCAAACTGTGCAGTGAAAAATGTAGATACTTTGTATAACCAAGGATGTAACCTATTCCTACTGCCTGGGGTGGTGTGACAGCAGATAAATCAACTCCACATACCTCAGTTCTAATAATCTTCCTATGAAGCACTGGGGGCCAATCTTTTTGACCAGGGTGCTACAAAGCAAGCCTTGCCCTCTCCCCAAGTGCCACTCCGATCTCCTTCCCCTGTCTGATCTATTGTTCTCCTCTCTCCCCTGTGCCTTATGTGCACTGTTCTCCCTGCTCTCTGCTGAATCTTTCAAGTGACAAAACAGGGGCTGTGTGCCACACACACATGCTGGGAGTTGGCCACCCCTCCTTTAAAGCATCTGCTACTTACCACTGTTGGATACAGGATACTGGGATAGATGGACCATTGATTTGACTCAGTAGGACACCTTTTATGTACATCTCAGGAATCTCAAACTGGGCAATCAAAAAGGGAGACACCCACATTAGTGGGTTAATTAGGCCTTAAACTTTCTGGATGAGATGCTCAAAAATGCTGAGTGTTGGCCTAATTATCTTCCTATTGAAATCAAAGGTGACTTCATCACTGTCTTAAAGGGAGAAGAGTTAGACCAAAGCTGAAAGCATTAACCTACCTGCCTGTAAGTTTTTTTTTCCAACTGTGAAATGTGAGGATTTCCATAATTATTTAGCTTCACATTATGTTTGGCCCTCTCTAGGTGTGAAGCCACATTCGCAGTTAGACCATGGACACAAATTATTCACAGTTAGGCCAGTGGAAATTCAGCCTCTCTGAATTTAAAAAATGGCGCACACTCTCCAGAAGTGCTGTAACCTGGCCCTACCAGCAGGAAAGTTAGGAATCAGGAACAGTTTTCACACACTTTCCCCAATTTAGTCCACTGTCCTATAAACTGCTTTGTGTCCTTTCAGACCACGCTATTCTGCATTATTCTGCTTTCAGATGACAGTGGCTGGACATTGCTTCCCACTCTGAATTCCAGCTCATGACCACGTCACCATTTTCTGCTTGGAGGATCAACCAGCATTCAAGACTTTGGAAGCCCATCCATGCCTCCTTTCCCTGTAAATTTAGTAAAAGACCTTAGTAACCTTGGAGATTCCTGCTACACCTGGACCAGCACTACCATACTGTGGTCTGGGGAGAGGCACAGGTCCAGGAAACCCTCAGTAAGAATCACAGGAACAAAGATGTCTATGAAATTGCCATCCCAGATGGCAGCGAGGAGTCACCAGAGTGTTGTAGTGCTGCTTCAAATGCCAGGACAGAGGGCTACAAATAGTATTAACTGCCATGTGCTTCCTAGCTGTGCTACAGCTCCATCAGGCCATGCTCCACAACACACCTCAGGACCATGGGCAGCTGCACTAAGAAGCTTGTGTTCAAACATTCTTAAGACCCAGGAACTTTTGCCAGGCAGGAGCCCAGGTACTCTCTGCAGCATCCTAAGCCAGATACCAAGGGCCCTACTCCTGCTACCAGCCAGCTGGTACTCCCCTGCCTGATACCTTCAATGTCGTCCTGAGCAACTGCAGAGAAACAGACAATAAGAGCACCGTGCACATGCTTTTTCAATTGGCTGTTCACACTTGCCAATGCATGAAGAGCTAGTTTATGTTGTTGTGCCCAGGGGCCACAGTCACAGGATGACATGCCTTGTTTGCCTTGCCAAGCCTTTCACAGGCATCTGGTGCCCTTGAGGTTCTGGTGACTGTTAGCTGTCTGTTACAGCAGTGCACATCCAGGAGTATTAGCACAGTGAAACAAGCAAGAAATAGCATGTTCCTCCAAGCATGCTATTTGGAACTCATTTACAAGCATGAGTTAGAACTCAGTCTCCTGCTGCACAGCCATTGCTCCCCCAGCCCAGACCCCCTGACCCTGGCAGATGCCCATAATGCAACCACTCAAGAATACTTTATATTGAGAACAGCAATATATGATTCATAGATTGTAAGGCTGGAAGGGACCTCAGAAGATCATCAGGTCCAGCCCCCTGCACCAAGCAGGAAAGATAACTGGGGGTCAGGTGACCCCAGCAAAGTGACTGTCTAGTCTCCTCTTGAAGATTTCCAGGATCGGTGATTGCACTACCTCTGGAGGAAGTTTATGATGACCTGATCTTTATGACCTGATGATCTTCCAAGGTCCCTTCCCACCTTACAATCTATGTACCCTAATTTTCTATGATTTATACCATGGGCAACTGGTGCCTCCTGAGTCAGGGGGCGCATTTGTCCCCCTAGTAGCCAGCCAGTGGGGGGCTCCCCCTGTGGCCAATCTTGCCAACCAGGTGGGGGGGTCCCCCCATGGCACCTGTATCTTTAATGGCTGGCACTTCCAAGCACACTGCTGGCACTTCTGGGTGGGTACAATCTGCCACAGGGGGACCACAGGGATTGCTTCTCCTGGCGCCCCCACTCCCCAGCTGGCGCTCTCAGGTGGGGCACCAGCGCTCTTGCCTGCCCCCCTACCTGGGCATGCTGGCTGCCAGGGGGTACACCAGTGCTCTCAGGGGGTGTACGTACATGTTACCACTGATTTATACAACTTACCTATCTGTGTGCCCATGGTCTCAGTCTCAAAGGAAGTTGGTAGGAACCAGTTTTTCAGAATCCTGAATGAAAGTATTACACTGCATCTGCATTTTTCCTCTGAAATTATTATCTATAATTCAGTAATCTCTAATTGCTGTATAGAGTTGGGAAACGCATTTAATCTAATTGCACAGGCTAGGTTTTGGGACCACATTAATATTTTAATATGACTGATCACAGCTCTTGCAGCCACCAGCAAGTCCCTCACAGACTTTGCTGGCCTTGGTTTGCACCATAAGCTGAATGGGACCTCTTGGTTCATCCAAGCCCCTAAGGCTTTAAGGGCTAATTATGTGGGCTCCATCCTTCCCAATATCCACTCCCACGCTTCACAGGTGATCTGCTAACATATGCATTTCATGGGTTATGGGCTCCCAGCCTGGTGTTCTGGTGTTTTGTTCTCTGGAGCTTCCCTCAACACATCCTAGTTCCCCCTAGGCACCACCCCCCACCTGATGGACCACCCCCCACCTCTGGCACTGGATGTTCTCCCCAAGTACCTAGTCCTTCCTGGGCTCTATCTCTCTCCCTCACTCTAAGGGCTATCTCTTCTAAAGCTTGCCTCACCCCGACTGAGGTGGTAGGCCAGTTTTGACATCCATATTTCCCCTGCAGTCCCTTCCACAACCATCTCAGTAACCCTGTTGGGCACTGGGCCCCTGGCTCCCAGGTCTATCCATTCTAAGGCCTGGCCAGCTTCTCTTGAGTGCCAAACCTATATAGCTCTGGGGCTATATAGCTTGTCACAACCCAGTGATTTTGGTGCCTCGGCACGATGGAATTTTCCCGCCACATGAGAGTCTCTTGCACAGCAAAGGTTTTCTGTTGCAACAGAGAACCCCGGTGCAAGAGAGTTCCCGCCATTTCGTATGTAAATTTGTGTCCCACTATTGGCCAGTTCTAAATTATTCCTACGTGGCGGCTAGTAATTGGCTTGCTGGCCGTTTAAAATTTCATGCGACTTCCGCCCAAGTCAGAGAACTTTGAGCACGCTGCAGAGTGCTAAAGATATCTGACTTGCGGCTTAGCTGATCGATAGACTGATCACCTATCAATTCTTCTCCCCGTCGCCGAGCGCAATCCTCGACATACCCTTTCCCTGCTGGCTTAATACGGATTCGCTGGCTTGAGCCTTGCCAGCTGGAGCAACTCACATAGTTGTTCAAGCGACCGGACCACCTGCGTCGTGGCTACAAGCGGCGCAAGAAAAGTTTTTGGAACTAAGCTTTGTCTGCCTCTCCATTCACCAGCCCGCCCAGCAACCGAGTAATTTCTAAATCACCTCGAGTCGGCTCCAGCCGTCCGAGACATAGCTCAAGCCTGGCTTCCTTCTGTCCAGGAGACTAGACACTCACCTCACTGGGGTCTCTTGACCCCAGTTGTCTTTTCCTGCCTATAATTACACAATACTATTCTTACAGGGTTACGACATTCTTATTATTACACAGATTTATTTAATTTTCTTATCAAACTACAAGTTTCTTTTCTAGGGCTATAGAGCACTAGGCCTGTGCAAAGCAGCCAGTAATCCAATTTGGATTTGGATTCAGACAATTTGGGGGACAGTGATTCGATTCAGTAATTCAGATCACTGTCTTGAATTGATTCAGCTGAATCGGATTTGAAAGATTCGACGCTGATTCAGTGTGATTCGGCCATAGACCATAACGGGGAATCACTAAAATACCTATAACTTTGTCCTTTTTTTTTTTTTTGTTGCAGAATTCGATAAAAACACCAGGGATGGTAGCTCCTTCTGAGGGCATGCCTTGATGGAAAACTGACTCAGATGTTACCCAGGTGGGAGGCTGCCCATTTAGGTCTCTGATGTCTAGGGCTGACATCCATTCTGCAGCTCCGTACCTGCCCTACACTGCCCATGCCTCGCAGATGGCATCCCAGGCAGCTAAACTCACCTGGGGCCTCACAACTCCACTGCAACCAGTATGCCTCAAGTCTCTTAAAGAGCTTACACGTCTGGGCTTTCCCTAGCCACAACTGTACATGCATGCAGTGGCTGGAGGTTATCAGGCACCCTCTACCCATCTTTCACCAGGGAGGTTCGTGGTCCTGACATTTCCTGGGGCTGCCGCACCACCCATAGTCCCACCAGAACTCCTTACCCTGGCAGGATGCAGTTTTAGGTCATGCTCAGGACCTGGGGTCTCCTCCTTCCTGATAGCCCCAGCCCATACCTCCAAGTTTGTCCTGGCACGGGAGCTCAGCAGGGACATGTTCTTCCCCTGCTGGCTGGTGAAAAACTGCCGCCTCCAGCCTGAGAGTGGGGCATTAAATGGTTGTCAAAGAAAATTTAAAAAGCAAATAGGTGCAGAGTGAGGACAGTGGCATTCACTCTGTCTGCATGTGGAGCTTGGGGAACCCCAGCAGCGTGAGGTTCACCTTCAGGAACACCAGCTGCTCCACCAAACCAGGATCCAAGGAGGTACAGTGGGGTGTCAAATCACCAGCAAGGCTGAACACCCTCTCACTTGGAACACTGGTTGGTGGACAGGACAGGTGTTCCCAGGCAACTGTGGCCAGATCCTGCCACATCTGGCTGTGGGTTGCCCAACAGGTCAAGAGGTTGCAGTGCAGCAGCTCTATGTCCTCAGCAAGATAGGTAGCCACCGAGGCCTCCATGCTACCTGCTGGATGCTAGGGCCTGGTGCCTTTGGACCCCACCATTGAAGCCATGCCCTTCACCCACATTGGCAGTGGCTATGGTAGAGGAGACTGGCTGGTGCTTGGAGTGCTGGCATGGGAAAGTGGATCCCCCTCTTCCATGCCCCCCCCCCACCTTTGCCCTTCTGCCTCCCTCCATCCAGTGATCAAGGGTTTTGTAGATGCTCTCCTTCACCCTCGGATCACACATGCCTGCCAGCACATGGACCGTTCTGGACTGCAATGGATTCAGCCATTTTTTGATGCCCTCCTTCAGCTGCTTCACCAGTGCCTGCAGCTCTGGTGAAATCGGCTTACCCCAGCCAGGAACATTGATCCCCTGGAACTTCTCCATTTGGTTCTCAAGCTCCTTGACATGGGGATCACCTGGCTAAGGAGGGCATTGACAGTGCTGAAGCTCTCAGTGGCCTTGAGGAGTGGCTTGAGGACCACCAAGATCTGGAAGACAGTATCCCACTCAGCTCTGTTAAGGGGGATGGTGATCTCAATCTCCCTGAGCAAGGCCATCTGACCTTCTGTTAATCCACCAGCCTTTCCAGCATCAAGTATGTGGAGGTCCACTGAGTCTCTACATCCTGCATGATTTTGTATTGCGGGATGTTCAGCTCTGCCTGTTTCTCCCACAGCATCTTGCCTCCCTTGATGCTCCAGTGAAAGTAGCCCACCACCTTCCTGCATCTTGAAATGAGCTGGCCAGTAGTGGTAGTGATGGCGCTGTCACCGGCAGCCCTGTCCCCTTCCAAGGCACTCCTGACTATGAGATGGAACTTGTGTGCCACATAGCGAATGCCAACAAAGCTGGCATCACAAGCCATCTTGACCATATTGGCCCCATTGATGGTAACCATGAATCCGCAGGTGAACGAGCCACCCCTGCACCATACGGTGCATGGCCACCAAGATCTCCCTTGCCATGTGGGACTCATCCAGCACCTCCACTTAAACGAGAGCCCACCGACAGCCTGACTGATTGCACCAGTGCTCTGTGAGGGAGAGGTAGACATGTTCTTTACCCCGGCTGCTCCGGATGTCCGAGGTGAAGTGCAAGGCTACCTGCGGACCTGCCTTGTGCAGCTCCTCCCTCAAGTGCTCCCTGCATGCCTCATACAGGGAAGGCACCACCATCCTGCTAAAGGTGGTGTGTATGGGCACTCGGTAGGATGGGGCCATGAGCACCATGAGCTGCCTGAACCCTGGATGCTCAACAAAGGAGAAGGGCTGGCCATCCAGAGCAAGCAGCTCCCCAAGGCTCTGGGTGACCTCACTCACTTTTGCAATGTGCCCCCCTTTGTCTGTGGCTTTCCCCCACTGGTCCAGGGTGGCCTGCCTCTGCTTCGTGGGGACGCGGGCTTTGGAGCAAGAGGGGGACTTCTTTGTGGGCATCTGGCCGAATCTTTTCCGAATCGAATCAGCGACCAAAGCTTCACACCTCTGTAGAGCACCCACTTGTTAAAAGCCCACAGAACTAAAGAAAAACCAAAGCAGAAATCTTGTTAGGTTGTTCTGTGCTCATACAACTCTGATAAAATAGCCACTTGACTGGTGTTTTCAAGGTGCAAGAAACTAAAGCTTTTATAACAGCTTCACTCTGATGTCAACAGTCATGCTGAAATAAAACAGGC